GCTTAATTCATGTACCCGGGACCCTGTTTCGCACTTAGTATGTGACGAAAATACTGTTATGTTAAAATGGGCTTTCTCGAAGCATCTTAGGAAAGTGTTAGAACAAAGAAGTACAATGTTGATTTATGTTTATGTGATTTTTTTTATATACACTTAAAATACATGACAGTAAACCGGATATGCTAATTAATATTAAAACGTAATTTGCATATAATATTTAGAATTGATTCCGAATTACATAATCTTTCTTACAATATTCAACCACATCATCCGTCAGATTTCATTGTTTTCTCGTCATATGCGTGACTCCTGCATACCCTAACGGCGATAACGCAGAAGAGTAAAGCACTGATAAGATTTAAGATTGCGGCCAAGTAAAAGACTATCTTGAAACTGCCTGTGGTGTCGTATATCAAACCTACGGAGATACAATTACAGAACATTCTTTTACATATATACAAACACCTATATATTGTATCTAACAAGCATCTATTAGTAAAACAATATAATTAACATATTGCACCCGAGCATTCGTGAAAAACTGCACTGAAATAGCATTCTAACCACCATACGTGGCAATTTACATCTAAATATATTTCTGCTTTTATTAATAAATCGGCTTTAAAACAGATCAGGTAAGCTCATAATCAATGTACTTCAATTCATCAACGTTGTACGTTCTTTCGAACAAACTAATGCAGATGGAAGCTGATAACTGAATTGATAATACCATTATTTGTTTACCGTTTACCTTCCATTGTCTACCACACTTATTTGGTATTTGTATTTCAAGATACATATACATATGCCACTGGTATTCGCCTCAAATAGCACATTAATAGCAAAATGATATAAATAACACATTTTTAACGGACCATCTGGCTTGAAAATAGAACATAATTTGCAAAATTGATTGATCAAACAAAACTTTACCATATTTAATATATTGACATACACAGTGCTAACGGTGTTAATTTTGCCAAAAAAAACAAACATTTCAAATGATGTGTTTATATTATGTTTTGAGAAAGTTTTAGTTTGAACTCAATTATAGTAATCTGAAGTTGTTTCGACTGAATGAAAATGTGTGAAATGACAATGCGGGGTCCAGGAACTTTCATTCCTAACACTGCTACTGCAGAGATGAACAACTATTAAACATTCGGGCAGGTACAATGGTATAGTGAGGAAGAGAAAAAATACCTACCTCCAGCTTGTGAGCTAACAATGCCTGCTATACCAACTGATAGTAACGTTATTCCATTTCCAAGTGAATAATTAGTGGCTCCTACTAGTTCTTTCATACTCGTAAACAGTAACGGGAAATAAACTCCATCAGAAACTCCAATAAGAATACACGAAGCAATTAACACAGGAAAAACAGTTATTGAAGCAATTGTTACTTGCGCTGCTCCCATAGTGAGCATGGCTATTGGTAGAATATAGGCTGGTCGAATATAAACCTTTTCCACAAACCATCCTAACACTACTCTAGTTGAAAGGCTCGCGATACCTAATGATGTAACTAAAAAGGAAGCTTTCATTGCTGGAATTCCAATATCAACTGCTTGTGGTACGATCATTGTTACCGAAATTAAATAACTGGTATCGCCAAGGAAAACAGCCAACATCATCAAAGCAAAAGCATGATTGGAACACAATAGTCTGAACCCCAGGCGTTGACAAAATTCTTTCAAATAATTATTGTCTGACTCCGTGTTTTGCTTTTCCAAGTCCTGGCTGATCACAGTGATTGGTCGCATAACAATGGCACACACAATAGTATTGGCGTTGATCGCAGATAAGATTAAGAATGCTCCCCGTAATCCATATTTTGTTACAAAGATCTGGGTCAAAGGTGAAAATATGAACATTCCCAAACCATTTCCAACAAATGCAACACTAGTTGCAAGGGCAAATCGCTTGTCAAAATATCTTGAAAGAATTGGTAAACTTGTTGCCAATAAAATACCATTTCCAACACCTGTAATGTATACATGTTAATTGGTTAATTCTAAAAACTGGTATGAAATATCGTTCGTGTTCATCAATAAGAATCACGTGATGGAATACACAATATATATAACCACTTCATTCATTCATTCAATTCATTCATTTATTCATTCATAGGGGCACATGCCGGGATGGCACCTTGCTGCGACCACCCTATGTGCCCGATCCTTCGAGCAAGTGTCCAAGCCTGGACATAGCCTATGCCCCATAACACGTTGAGAAACCCCCTCAGCTGACTCAGCCACGATGCTCTTGGTCTCCCCCCCCCCAGGCGATCTCCACAGACAGTATTTGGCTGGCAGGTTCGTTGCCCCGGAAGCAAGCAACATGCCTGAAGAAGCGCTGCTGGCAGTCATGAATCAAGCAGGTGACCCTCACAATGTCGACCACCCTGAGTACTCTGCTGTTGGACACATGATCCTGCCAGCGGTGCACGAGGATTCGCCGCATGGAGGTTGTCACAAAGGTGTTTAGTCTTTGTCCCAGCCCCTTAGTAAGTGTCCAGGCCTCACAAGAATATAGTAAGACCGGGAGCACAAGGGACTTGAAGACTCGGACATTTACACCTCTACTCAGATATCGCCAACGCCACACACCCTTGTCAAGCGATCTCATAACACCCTGTGCAAGGCCAAGACATCTTGCGACCTCACAGCTGGCAGAGCTACTGATCATGCTGCCGAGGTAGACAAACGAATCAGTGACATCCATGTTCCCACTCTTTGCCGAGACAGACCTGACAGTCTTAACCCACAACATATGGAGTCCAAACGGTTCAGCATCCACACTCAGTGCGTCAAGTGCTCCTACTAGAGAATCAACCAACTCGGCCAACAATGCGGCATCATCTGTAAATTCAAGATCAGTTATCTTGATACTTCTAAACGAGACTCCACAACCTGTGCTTTCCATCACACCTCCCATAATCCAGTTCATACAAGTTTTGAAACGTACAGGAGCCATTGTGCATTCCTGCACAGCCACGCCACCAGCATACTTAACAGCACTCTCTGTTCCAGAATACAGAGAGGAGATAAGGTGTGGGTATACCACGAACCTTGAGGATTTTCCATAGGGCCTCTCTACACATGGAGTCAAAGGCATTGCGGAAATCAATATAGGCTACTAAGAACCCTCAGCACACGTAGCGCCAAGATACAATCAATGGTGGACTGCTTGGGAGTAAAGCCAGACTGCTCAGAACGCTGATGGAAAAGCAGCTGCGCAATTGGCGGATACGGTTCAGAAGCATCCGTGCAAAGATCTTGCCAGGTACAGAGTGTCACCCCTCTGTAATTGCTACAATCCTGGGCATCACCCTTTCCCTTCCAGGAAATTAGACCCTTTCTCCAGTCAATTGGGATGATGCAAGTGCTCAACACTGAGCACATCAGTCTGTGCAACCACATCAGGGTAACCTCACCTCCAGCCCGGATCATTTCAGGACAGATCCCACACACCCCGGGGTGCTCCCATCCCGCAGTTGACCCAATTCCTTTAAAGTTTCCTCTAAGGAAGGCGGGTCAAAACCAACGAGAGAGGTAACAGATGGTCTTTTTAAAATTTATTCGTGGGTAAGATCAAATAAACCTGTCTCCCTATAAATACTATTACAGAGT